CATCAGGGGTCTGTAGAGACAGATTTTCAGTCGGAAACGCCTTTCCGGGAGCATCACCAGGACTAAAGTTTCGTCGCATTTGGCTATACCATCTTGCGGAGGACACGGGAGTACTCAGAAGTGCTTTTTACGTGGCCTGGCTAGAATTTATCCCCTGGAATAAAATTATACTGCTATAATGTTCCGGACGGAGGACTTGGTGCAGGAGTCTAAAGGGAAAAGGGGTTTGCACCCTGTGCAGGAGCGACATACAGAGTGCGACGAACTTTCGTCCTACCGCAGTATAGGGGTTCCATGGATGCGTCTGATGAGGGTTTTGGGTATCCCGCACGCCCAGCTGACCAAGTCGCACCGCAGTGGCGATGGCGGCAATCCCGGGGTTCTTATGCAGGCTCTGTAACGATTTCTGTAAGGACACGGGATTCGGAATTTTGGGGGTGCTCCGGACGAAGGTTTAGGTGTAAGGATTTCCGGTGGTCTGTCTCAAGATTCAGGGTTCAGGGTCGGTTGAGGGTTGCCTCAAGCCTCAAACCCTAAACGACCAACCTTGCAAGAGGCTCGATTTGTCTTTGGGTAGCAGAATTCAGAGTGGAGCCAGATGTACAGGACAAGGGCCAATCCCACAGTCAAACCGTTCAATTTGGTTCAGTTTAGACTCTCACAACTAACGGTTTAGTTTAGGGTTTCAGGGTCACATGACATGCGTGGCATCATCTGTGCTTCACTCCCTCCCTTCTCTGGAAAACAACGCAATCACCTTAACACGCTTTCTAAACCGAACCCTAAGTTCTAGACCACAACACGAAGCATAACCATGAGTTCTCCAACTATGCAGGACCTCAGCCCTCCAATTCGGGACCCTGATTCACCTCAGCCCAAACTATAGCCCACGACAACTGAGAAGTAGGCTATAAGTTGCTGGGAGGTTTAGGGTTTAGATCCGCTAAACCCTTACTAAACCCTAAACCCTGCAAGTGAAAATCCACTTGTCTGCTCAGACGCGCAACGGTCTATCGCAGCTTTGTCAGTGATCAAGGTGTAGCTTTGGGGAAAAAGATGTGCTGTTGAGCCGCACCTCAGCAACCTCTCGTGCGCGACACCTTCAAGAGCTGGCAGTGCGACGCTTGAGCATCTAGAAGCTGCTGTGCGCTTGCATGGTAGCGGAGCCGACCCAAGGAAGTGGGCGGCTCGACGATTCAGGGCAGAACTTCGAGGCTTTCCTCTGCGTGCCGAGGAAAGATGACAAGCAGCACAGCTTCAGCGACGACAGCGAATCGCACAAAGGACGGCGTCCCACTTTGGGACGGAGATCCTGGAAGTTTCCAGGAGTTTTGTGAGTCAGCGAGACTCTATGAGCAGTCTATCGCCTTCCACAAAAGGGCGACGGTGGGACCTCGTTTGGCTTCGGAACTGTCGGGAGCAGCGCGGCGCCAGGTGACAGGGAAGCCGGCAGACTGGCTATCCTTTCCGGGCGGCGTCGAAGTTCTTCTAGAACCTTCGACAAGGACTTGGGCAACCTCGCATCGTCGAGGTCACCGAGCACCTGGGGCGTTACTTTCGACAAAGCAAACGCCGAAGCGGAGAGAGCATCAACGAGTATGTGGCGAGGAAGAACGAGGTGTACCTACGGGCCCAGCAGGCCATGGCAAGGGTACAGCCGGTGTACCAGCAGTCGACGACTACCTCGTGGCATACACGGAACACGGTGAGTCCATCTTGGAACAACTGGGGAAGCCGGAGGTCTTCGATGGACTCACAAGGAGAAGATGATGGAGAAGCCACGACGGCCGCCAGTACCGCGGAGGCAGCCGCTCAAGAGGGCGACACGGCCTGGAACACTGGGAACGGATCCTGGAATTGGCGTGGAGGCTACTACGGCTCCTGGAACGATTGGGGAGGTGGCTGGTCCTGGCAAGGCTGGGGCGCCTGGCCCAGCGAAGCTCGGCAAAAACCGGAGCCACTTCCGGAACTACTTCCCGACTTCGTCCAGGGATGGATGTTACTTCAGGATGCCGGACTCGATGCTACCGAGAAGAGTCTAGTGCAAGCCACTCTGGGGGAGAACTACAACACCAAAGCAGTGGCCCATGCTCTCAGGACCCACTTTTCCGACTCCGACCTCCGCAAGCGCGACCATGGCCGTCGGCAACAAGGTTTCTGGGGTGAGACGGCGGATGACCACCTGGAGGCCGAGCAGACCGAAACGGATCACGGCTTTGCGGCGGGCGAGCTCCTGAACGAGGAGGGCTTCACTGCGTGGACCGAGGCCCAGGACGAGATCAACGAGGCCATGGCGGTGATCAACCATGGACGGCGGACCTTGAAGGAAGCTCGGGCAAAACAACACTCAGTAAAACTTTCAAGACAGTACTTCAAGTCCTACAACCGCAGCGGTCCTTCGAGCTCTTCGGCAACCTCTTCCGGACCTCCCAGGAATCGAGATGAGGCTATCACATGCCTGAAGTGCGGTAAACTGGGCCACCGGGCCAGCAACTGCACCCAGCCTCAGGCCGCCAACCACGTCGACGAGGAGTCCGCCGCGTTCACCTTCTACACAGAGCTGCAGGAGGAACCACAAGATGAGGCTCTGGTGGCGGCGCCTACCACAAGTCAGGCAGTGGAGTCCGGCAAGGCCGTGCTCGACAGCGGGGCCACGCGCAGCATCGGCTCTATCACCGCGCTCGAGAAGGTGATGGCGTTGAACTACCAGAAGACTGGCAAGAACCGCGTCTTGAATATCGACAATAGCGAGCGGCCCATCTTCGGCTTCGGGAACAGCAGTTCGGACCAATGTGCTTCAACAATGACATTGGGTGTGACAGCTGGAGGACGACCCGGAGCCTTCCGGGTGCATGCACTGGACAGAGGTGATGGACCTCTGTTACTGTCAATCGACGCCCTCCGGTCCCTTGGTGCGATCATCGACTACGACAACGACCTCATGGTTCTTCGCCGAGTGGACCCTCACAAGATTGTTGGCTTGGAACGCTCGGCGACAGGACATCATCTCTTGTCGATGACGCAAGATCTCTTCACGAACGCCATCAACATCCTGAAGGCTGTTCCGAGTCTCCGTGACTTTTTAAGTGCTGACGATTTTTCGCAAAGCGAGTAGGGACAGCACCTCTTCGACCTGCGTCCTGACGGGAAAGAAGAGGACCACAGATGTTTTTCAGGACAGGGTAGTAACAACAGGGGCGATGCAACATCTCCCGCTGTTGAGGGTCTTTCTCCGAGTAAGAGAGAACATAGTGGAAGTAATTATTCTAGTGTCGATTCTGATTCTCTTGATAGAGTGAGCTGGCCTGAGCAGTGCACACAGCAACATGTCGGCAGCAGCATTCAGCAGGAGCAGGGCAATGCTCTCAAGTCCGTATCGCCGCAACATGCCAGTGCTCAGGCCTCTCGACGGGTGCATTTTGATCCTCCATCGCCTCGGGAACATGAGCAATCTTACCCGACAGCAGCTTCGAGATCTCTTGGCCGAGAAGGGCGAGAAGCCACCAATGCGGTGGACACGAGTCGAGCTGTTGATGCGAGTGGAGGAGCTCACGGGCAACAATCAGAGCAAGACGGCCCCGACGCAGGAGACCTCCGAATACCACCAGTTGGTCTCCAAGTTGAATGCGGCCAGTCGCCGCAAGGCCGATCTCCAGACCTTCTGCCAGAACACGCTGGGGATGGAGGTGAACTTCAACCACACGATTGCCCAGCTCCAGCGCGAAGCCATGCTGAAGATCTACGCGAGGAAGACCGTGCCGGAGCCGACCGACGTGTTGGGCTTCGGTTGCCACGCCGACAAGAGCTACGCAGCAGTGAAGAAGCAGTTCCCAGAGTACTGCAGTTGGGTCACGACTACGGCTCGCGAGGGTCAATGCGATCCAAGGCTGCGCCGCTTTGCGGGGTGGCTGGCCACCGATGTGAACCAGGTTGCCCAGGCCTCCGAGGACCTGGAAAAGAAGTTCAGCCTGTCCGAGAGCAACTTGGCTCGCAGGACTCCCAAGCCAGAGATCAAGAAGAAGACGAGCGGCTACTCCACCGGTGCCACCTCGAGTGCGGCGGCGGTGGACGACGGGGACTCCGTGACGCTCTCCAGCAGGCAGCTGCAGACCATGGTGGCCACGATCGAGAACCTCAAGGAGGAGGTGGCGGCGCTCAAGGGCGAGAGGCCTCGCAAGAAGGGCGGGTCCGACGAGCCGAACAGCCCGTCCAGCGACTTCTCGATGGTGACCATGACGAAAGGGAACTAGCAGCTGCGGCCTCTACCAGATCGGAGCTGAGCGCCTCTCAGGAACTTAGTCGGAAGCTGAGTCTCGGAGAGGCCCGCAGCCTCGAACAGGCATCCTTCAATGTGGTGCCTCAGATTTTTGAGGGGTTGGCATCATGGAATCGGCCAGTGCTGCTGGAGGTGGCATGCTCGGCTGATAGTGTGTTGGCCGCCACGGTCCAGTCTCTAGCTAGTAACACGGCAGCGGCAGGACGGTGCGCTTCATGGAACAAGTGTGACCTTGATACGAGCGAGGGTGTTCGACTGATAGTGCAGCGTCTGCAGATGGAGCGACCACGACATGTTTGGATGAGCCCCCCTAGCAAGGCCTTCTCCCCGATGCAGAATGCCAACCGAGGTTCCGAGGCCCAAAGGGAGGAACAGAAACAACTTAGACAACAAGAGATGCGTGTGTTTCTAGGAGCGATTGCAGTGTTCCATGCTTGTGTGCAACTCGGCATTCATGTGACATGGGAGTGGCCAGAGCACTCCAATGCGTGGCGGTTGCCTGTCATGCAGCGTCTGATGCAGAAATATAATTTGCAGGTTGTGACTTGCAAAGGCTGCAGGGTGAATGCACGACACTCCAAGTCGCAGCTCTTGCTCCAGAAGGGATGGAAGCTCGCCACAACGTGTGCGCGAATGGCAGAGGTCATGCAGTTGCCTTGCCGGTGTGGACATGATTACGTTCATGGCCGGTGCGAGGGCTGGGAAACTTCAAGGACCAGGGATTACACCCCAGAGTTCGCTAAGAGAGTGGCCCAGGTGATGCTTCAGGAGCTTAGCCATCAGCAAGTTCAGTGGGAGTGTCAGGGTCAGACTTCTTTACCTGAGGGCTTCGGCGAAGGGTTCTTGCGTCAATGCAAAGAAACTCACGTGGCTGCGCAGTCTATGACCTGTGGTGCATGTAGTGTGCAGGGTTCATTGGACCAGGAACACAGGTCAGGCGATTCCACCCAGGTTCCACAAGATGGTGAGGCTTCAGGGTTTCTTCGGAATGGAAGGTTTGAACAGGGTACTTCAGACGACGGGATATCACCGGAGGAGGTGGAAGCTTTTATGAGTGAGGCTGAGAAACAAGCGTGTGAAGCAGAGGCTCAGAGACTCCTTCAGAACAAAGACTTCCGACACGAAAGTTGTGAGCAACTCCTGAAGAACCTTCCCCTGCAGCCTATCCTGAAGCACCGCCGCATGCTAGGTGACAGTCGTAGCATCTACGTGACCCTGGGAGTGTATGCGTATGGCAATCACTACGGCATCACTAAGAAGACTCGAGTGTGGGAAAACTTGTGTAAGTATGTGAATGCCTATGTTGAGAACTGGAGTGGCCCAGGATGTAGGACCTCGCTGACGATAAGCTTGAACAATCAAATCCCTCTTCATAAGGATGTCAACAATGACGAAAGGTTTGAAAACGTTCTGATTGGGCTGCGTGATTTCCGCAAGGGAGGATTGTGGCTTGAGGATGTGAGCTCAGGTTCAGGGTGTCTTAAAGGTGAGAAGCAAGAGCGACAGTTGCCCAATGGGAAGTGGATTTCAGGGACCATTCATGATTGTCTTCGGAAGGTTGTTCGGTTCTCACCCAAGCAGTGGCATGGAACTCAGGAGTGGGTTGGTAATCGTATGACGGTGACCGCTTTTGTGTCTAGAGGAGTGTACCACTTGAGTAGTGAAGAGCACAAGGCTTTGAAAGGTTTTGGGTTCAACAGCCCCCCGAAACAGGACCCCACCAGAACCAAGCCCAACCTGAAGTCGTCCCAACAAAGTTTAGCTGCCGAAGGTGAGACCCCGAGCCAAGCTTCCTCAAACAGCCAAGCTAGGAAAGAGGAGGATAGAATCATGAGACAACTGCACCTTTTGCACTCAGCCACGGGACATGGAAGCATAAAAACCATGTTGGAAACATTGAAGCGACGAGGCGTGAGTCCCAGGGTTTTAGAAGTGGCCCAGAGGTTTAAATGTTCCGCGTGCCAAGAACGAGGACAGCCTCAGCCCCGAAACCTTGCGTCGTTAGATGTGCTTCCCCCCAAATGGAAAACAGTGTCAGCGGACATAGGCCATTGGACCCACCCCAGGAGTGGGGAGAAGGTCCAGTTCATGCTTGTGATTGATGAAGGCAGTAGATTCAGGATTGCCCGCATTTTGACCCAAGGGAGTAAACAACAACCCAGTGCTGCAATGTGCCTTGACTACCTGCAGGAAGGATGGGCCCAAGTGTTCGGCAAGCCAGAGGTGCTCCGGCTCGATGCGGCAGGCGCCTTCCGTAGCCAGTCAGTGGAAAGTTATTGTGATCGTCACTCTATCTTTCTTGATCTGGTGCCAGCGGATGCCCACTGGCAGATCGGGATATGCGAGCAGGCAATCAAGGGAGTGAAGCATGTCATGGAGCGGCTGTGCGCCGAAGATGACCAATTGAGCTCCAAGGAGGCACTTTCCTTGGCCATCGAAACCTTCAATAATCGAGAGCAGATTCGGGGGTACACGCCCATCCAGCACGCCTTTGGCAGAAACCCCGATGTGACGGGTCGCCTCGTGGCCCGCCCCGAGCGAGTGGGAGAGGACTGGATCCTGGAAAGTGGTGATGAGGCGTTTGTGAGATCAGCCGAGGCCCGCGCCGCTGCAGAAAAGGCTTTGAGTGACTGGCAGGCACGACAAAGGATTAGTCGTGCCATGAACTCCAAGGGCAAGCCCGCCTTCGACTACGAGCCAGGTGAGTTAGTTTATTTTTGGAGGACGCAAGAGAGCGGGAAGGGACGACAACAAGCTGGCACCCGACGGGGCCGTTTTCTCGGCCCGGCGCGAGTCTTGGCAACAGAGACAAGGAAAGAGCCAGACGGCTCCTTGCGACCAGGCAGTGCAGTCTGGTTGGTGCGGGGAAGATCCTTGCTGAAGTGTTGCCCAGAACAACTCCGGAGGGCCTCAGCCAGGGAAGAGCTCCTGGAAACCCTGGCCCAGCGCAATCATCACGAGGCGGCCACACCGTGGACTTTCCACCGAGTGGTGGAAGAGATAGGCGGCAACCGCTACGAGGACGCCTCAGGTGAGGCGCCCAGTACAGGAGAGTGGCATCGAGCGCAACATCCAGATGAGGAAGTTACTCCTCCTCGTTTTCGCCTTCGGGGAAAGCGAGCCGGGCCAGAGCAAGTGGAGGATGAAGACATGGAAGAGCCGGAGGCTCCCACACCTTCAGCTCCAAGCCGACCGGTCCGACCTCGGACTACAGGCCCCACCTCAGGTGGGAACACAGCCGCACTCGCCTGGTGGAGCGAACTTTCCGAGGATCAGTTTGGAGAGGGCAGCAGTTTTTGGCTGGACGAGGCCCATGCCGTGGAGGTCTCCATCGACCTCCCCGAGACGAAGCGTGGCACAGAGAAGGCCATTGACAACCTCTACAACTACTTCGCCGGAGCGTTGAAGAGGCAAGCCGTGGAGGTGAGCGAGCGTCGAATGAGCGAGAGCGACAAACAAGCCTTTAAGGAGGCTAAAGCGGTGGAGGTGAAGAACTTCTTGGCGGCCAAAGCGTTTGAGGCATTACCACCGGAATACCGTCCAGATCGTTCACAGGCCATCGGGATGAGGTGGATTTTGACATGGAAACTGAAAGATGATGGCACGCATAAAGCAAAGGCGAGGGCGGTATTATTAGGGTATCAAGACCCGGGCTACGAACACCGTTCCACAACGGCACCTGTGATGACGAGGCAGACGCGTCAACTGATGCTACAAATAGCAGCGAACAGACACTGGTCTGTGTATAAAGGAGATGTGTCTGGAGCATTCCTCCAAGGCCGCGATTATCCAGATCGACTCCTGTGTGCTCCATGTGACGAGATTTGCACCGCGATGAACCTGCCACCGGGGTCGATTGTTCGAGTTCGCAAGGCCTGTTACGGCCTCGTGGACGCGCCATTGGAATGGTACCGTACGGTGTCCTCCTTCCTGGCCGAATTGGGCTTTGAACGTCTATGGTCAGATGCCTGCGCATGGGTTCTTCGAGATGGCCCACGACTCCTGGGAGTTATCTCAGGCCATGTAGACGATTTTCTATTTAGTGGAGATGAGGCCAATGTTAGGTGGAAGGAAGTGATTCAGAGCATCCAGGCCCGATTCAAGTGGGGAGACTGGGACAAAGACGTCTTCGTGCAGTGTGGAGTGCAGGTTACCAAAGACGGCTCGGACTTCAAGTTGTCTCAAAAGAGATATCTGGAGGCCATTCATGAAATCTCTGTCAGTGCTGCTCGCAAAAAGGATGTAAAAGTGGAAACCACCGAACGAGAGAAGACGCAACTTCGTGCCTTGCTAGGAGCGTTGAGTTGGAACTGCCAACAGGTGAGCCCTCACACCTCAGCCGAAGTTAGTTTACTCTTGTCCGAAATTCCCAAAAGCACGGTAGCCACCATCCTGCAAGCCAACAATCTTCTGTTCCGGACTAAAGCCCGAAGCAACCACGAGCTGATCATTCACAGTTTTCCAGACGAGAAGGACCTGGGAATGTATGCCTGGGTGGATGCGGCTAGCCAGAATAGAAGTGATGGGGGATCCACCCAAGGGATTGTTGTGGGATTGGGCTCTTTGGGAATGTTGAGAGGAGAAGTCAGCAAGGTCTCCTTGGTGTCATGGCATTCGAACAAGATTGATCGAGTATGCAGATCGCCCGGCGCCGGGGAAACTCAGGCCGCCGTCAACGGCGAAGACATTCTTTACTTTGCCAGGTTTCAATGGGCAGAGTTCCTCTACGGAGCAGTGGACACGCGAGATCCAGACGCCACAGTTAGGAGGGTCATGGGAGCAGTAGTTTCAGATTCCAGGAATGTTTTCGACAAGCTTCAGACGGAGGTTCTCTCGATCAAAGGGGCTGAGAAGAAGTCAAACATTGAACTCCTTAGCTTGAAGGAATCACAGCAGAGGACCGGTGTGAAGGTGAGATGGGTTCACTCCGAGGCTCAGTTGGCGAACTCGTTGACAAAGTGGAATGGTGGTCAC